TTTTTTTACCCTTCTACACGGTTTTTGGAATTCCTAAAACAAGCAACGAAATGGTGTCGCACGGTGCCAACCCCTGCCGCACCGTGCCGCACCGTGCCGCACCGGTATAGAAATCAAAACCAAACTCGTGCTACCGTCTTCCCCCGAACATAACGCACCCTGAAATTGAACGTATGCAAGCTATATTTCCGGTCCGGTACAGCCAAGATGAGGGTGCGTTGTGTTCGGGGGAAGACGGTAGTGTGACTTGGCCCCAGAGTCCCCAGACCTATTGCCATCGGGGTACTGTCGGTCAACCCCTGTCGTTTCCTTTCTTCTTCTTTATTTTTTTCTTTTTTCTTTTTCTTTTTTTTCTGTGTTGTCTTTTGGCCCACAAAAACTAATATTGTGGAGTACTGTGCAAATGAGAATAGGAGAGGGATTAATCCGCTAGTTCACAGCTAATGGGGATCAACGTGATCAATGTAAACCCCCGACGGTAGGAATATTGTGCAAACCTAGGGGCGAAGAAAGCGACAAAGCCATAGATGTAGAAGACACCCAACCAATCACCAACTCATGAAGGCTAGTTAACTGATCAAATAAAACAACGCACTTGATCAGCAGGCTACGACGGGTGGATGATTTAGCCAAACTTCTGTGTGTGTGCGTGCGTGTGTGTGTGTGTGTGTGTGTGTGTGTGTGTGTGTGTGTGCGTGTGTGTGTGCGTGTGTGTGTGCGTGTGTGGAGGGCGAGGGACATGAGAGTGGGCAAGCGAGAGAGAGAGAGAGAGAGAGAGAGAGAGAGAGAGAGCGGGGGGGGAGGGGGGAGGTAGATGTGATGCTTGCATCACTGGTTGCCGATGCAAGTGAGGTTTATTTCACAGACAACACAGAGAGAGAGAGAGAGAGAGAGAGAGAGAGAGAGAGAGAGAGAGAGAGGTGTTTGACGTGTTGCGATCATTACTGGCTCCCAATGTGGATTTCTTGACTCTAATCCTGCATTCACCTAAGGTCATTTGTTTGTACTACTCAATGGTGTACAGGTGTGATTACGGATAAACAGATGAGGAGTTCAAATTGGACAACGTAATGATGGCGCTACTCTCGTTGTCAATGAATGGAAGGCAGGATAGAAACAGAAGAGGGGAGGAGTGGAGGGGGGGAGAGGAGAGAAGTGAGACGAACCTAAATCCAATATCCTAATTTCACCCTTGCACCGGGGCAAGGTCTCACTTGCACGGATTAAGAGCTTCTGGCCGTTTTGATCTTTGCCATCTACGGTCAGTATCGCTTAATTCGTGTAAGCCTGTAAGGCGTCCAATAGCAAGGACCGGCCGTCCCGCC